TTTATTTCACTGACTAACTGAAATCAAGAAAGAAAGCGAAACCCGAAGAAAGTCCGGCTACCCCGCATATTGAAACAGCCGAGCCACAACGCAACAAATATCAACAAGCTTCATAACGACCCCACTCTCATCCCTAATTTGTCGGACAACTGCAGACGACGACGATGACGAAGCACGACTCAAAAGTCTGTCGCACGAGCTAACGTTGCCTTGCGCGTAAAGCGCCAGCACATCGAATTCTTCATAAGTATCGGAGTCGAGGTCCTCGAGCACCGTGGCCAGGGCCAACAGGGTTAGGTTGTAATCACCCGCACACTTCCGCATGGCAGCTAACTCATTTGTGTTCCTTTTAGGGATCATCGGGAGGATTTGATTTAGTAAGTCGATGGCCTTGGCGTAGGTCGTGCGGAAGGCTATGTAGGCGAGGTCGATGTTGGTGTCGGTGGGGGCCCCACTGTCGTTGAAGAAGGTGGCGCAGCAGAATTCGTAGCCGGTGGTTCGCGTGACGTTTTCGCAGACGGCGGTTACCAAAGGGTTGTCGTGGCAGGTTTGAGTGGACGAATTTGGTTTTCCGGCGACGGTGGTGATAGGTGGAGAGGATGGGAAAAGGAAGAGGATGGCTGCATGCGTGATGATGAAGAGAGGAAAATAACAGCCCATTTTTTTTTTTTACCCTTTTTTTTTGTTTTTTTTGTTTTTTTTGGGTGATGAGAAGAAAGATTAATGGGGGATTTGGTGGGATGAGAATACCGTTTGATATCAATGCTGTGTGTATATATACACACTGGAGAAATGCTACGATCTCACCACGGAACCATTCTGTCGAAATTTGTAACCATTAAATCAACTATTCCGACATGATTACATGATGATCTGACGGTTACAAACCCAGACGAAATGGTTCCGTAACGAGACCGTAGCATTTCCCTACACGTTGATCAAAATCTAAAACTCAACTTTAACCCAATCACACTATCCTCTATCAATATAATTAAATAATACCAATCAATCAATCATTTTTGCACATCACATCAGCTTTAACTTACCATTCATCAATTCACATAATTTTAACTAACTATCAATTCATATCATCATTCTTTTACTTTTTACACCAAAACAACTTTAGTTATTTTATTTTAAATATATTAATTTATTATAAAATCAAAATCTCACTAACAACTAATAATCATACAATTTTTTTTTTTCAAAATTAACTCTGATTAAAAAAAAAACCTCGTTTTGAGCGGACAAACAGCCTAAAGCCAAGCATCCCGTTAAACTTTATTGTTATTTTTTTTTTATATGTATACGACAATCAACTATGGGAATGCAGTGGGTCACTTCCAGCTTAACCAGTGGTCTCGAGTTCGAGCCCTGGGAATGCAGCAGTGTTAAAACTCTTGAGGGAGAGCTTTGCCGCCCTTGTGGTCCTACCCGGCTCAATTCTGGATTAGTCGGTTCCCCTGTGGATCCGAAAACCGGAAGGTCCCTGTACCAAAAAAAAAAAAAAAAAAAAAACTATGGAAAACCATGTCCTTATTATCGCAAGAATCGCTGAGTATTGGATTTTTCAGATTCTGTTGCTTATTATATTTGGCGTAACTTTGAACTGTTTTCTTCTCTTACATGAGAATTTCTACGCCGTCTTTATCACAACGATATTCGAACCAGCTGCTTTGCCAACCAGAATTAAAGGGGAAGATGCGAAAATCATAGCATGCTACTGTTTAACTGAAAATTAATATTATTAATTTGTACTAAACTATAGTAATAAATCATATATAATTCGAGTTTATTATGGAGTCCATTATAAAATATCATAACCAAATCAAAAGGTAAAAAAAGAAAATCATTTTTGTAGAACCTTGAACCACAGTAATAAACTGTAATGCAACCACTAATTCATACTTTGTTATCATTTTTTTTAAGTGTTGCCTTTATTTAATATTTTATAATTTATTAATGAAAAAAAAAAAAAAATTAATTGAATCTTTAGCTTCATCAAGATTAGCCCAGTCGTTACCATTACTATATATATAACGGTTACAAACTCCGACGTTAGATCATCATTTAATCGTCAGGGATAATTGATTTAATAGTTACAAACTCCGACGAAATGATTCCATATAACATCTTCCTATAAAGTGACACTTTCAACTTTCAATGGTACAAAAATGTAACACTTGCCAAACAAAAATAATAACAAAAAAGGAAAAAAAAAAGGTGGGTGATAATGACAAGATAATCCAAAGAAAAAACAACGTCCCCATATTTCTTTTTTCTCCCTAAACTCTCTATCT